AAAATGGCACGCCTATCGACTTTTCTCGTCGTCCTCTTCGTGGCCTCAGTTGTCTCCGGCCAATCTCCGACTAGTGCCCCTCGAGCCGCCCCGCATGCCGCCCCAACAGCACAACCCGTGGCAGCTCCCGCCCATGCTCCAGCCAGCCAACCACCGGCCGCCGCCAGCTCGGGACCTTCTCCGGTTACAGCCTCGCCGGAGGAGGAGCCTTTGTCTCCCCCGGCCCTTGCCCCCGAAACCGAGGCTCCGCTTGCCGATGCCCCGACAGAGTTGGCCCCCAGCACTGCCCCGGAAGCTGATTCGGCAACCGGAGGAGCTGCCGGAATTGAGGTATCTGCCGCCGTTGCTGTGGTGGCTGCCGCCGCTGGGTACTTGGTGTTATAATAAGTGTGTTGTAGTAGTTTGATATTTGATTTATACATGTATGTATGTATCAATGGTACAATGTATTTGTGTGTTTGTTGCCTTGTTGGAAGTTATTTGATATATATCATTTGTTATAGTTTTATGTAAAATGAATTTTGTTGGTGTTCATTTGATTTGATGTGATGATCGAAGAGCGGGTGATATCCGGAATTCTTATTTTATTGTATTGGTTTTTTTCGTTCTTTGTGAAACATTTGTGTTGTGTCGCTTGATATATATTGATCGATAGCTACAAGATTTATCTGTCGAGATCAAAATTGTAGTTGTTGAAAACCCGCGCTAACCAATCAGGCGTTGAACCAGCCAAAGTAAAACATTCAGGTTCGAACCAGAACCAACAAATGTAATATACGGATTCAATTATGTTATAGTTATGGACCACACACCTGGTCCATGGGCTCGGGCCGCTAGTCAACATGTCTAGACTCGCTTGGGCCTCTAGTCCAACTTAGTCATGTATAATTGAATGTTAATTTAAACACAAATACACTTTGACGTTTCTAACAATAGCTGGAGTGACAATGTAGACGCAAAATTGTATGCAACAAACGAACGAGCTCTTTGAATGTGAATTAGCTCGAACGAGTTTTTGTTCGCGAACGTTTGGCTCATTAACAACAGTAGTTAGAGCGCTTCATAATAAGAATTTGTGTATAGTTATTTTATTGATGCATTTGCGTCTTAGTAAATAAGGCTGGGCCAATATTATCAAACTGTTCTTCCACTTGGCCCACTTTGCGGATTGGCAACTTAAACTACTCTATTTCCTGTCCAAAGTTGGGAGATGCTAATTGATAAAGAGATCTCGCAATCTTTCACTATACTACTAATTTTAATAAGAAACACAACTTTAATCTTCTCATGAAAACAGTTTCACCTATTAGTTAAAGCAATAAAAAGGTCTCAAACAATAATATGATTGTTATGCGAATGATTTTTATTCCAAAGGAATGATAAATCGAATAAGAAAAATCGCAGGCTACAAACATTTTGACTAAATCGGATATAACAAGAAAGTCCCAGGATTTAGTTGTATTCTTACATCAGCTATCTGACATTCATTGATGGCACTATTCAATTGTTAGGCCAACAGATACTTTTGGACACAAAACTCAATCATTCAGAACAGATTTGTCAAATTTGCTACAAATGTATGGACAACAGACAATGATGTTTCTTTACTCTAAACTTCGTACTCAACTTTTGTTGACGCAAAAGTAACCCAATAGCCATTGAATGTTCTAGTTTTATATCTTTTTCACTTAATAGTAAATACATAGAACATAAATTCTATGGAGTCGTCAATGAATTTGATGTGTTGACACATATCTTAAGTACATTTATTATTGAACAAGTGCCAATACATTAGTTGTGAATAATAGTGAATGGCTAGGTCATGTAATCCGATGGATCCGTATCAAAACCGATAGATTGAAATCACACTCTAACGATCGATTTATTATTATCTCCGACTTTCCCTTTTTATGTTAATATTTCTTTTTATTATTAGGTGGTGGCAGGGGATGGATAATATTAATGAAATTAAGGAAACAAGGTTTAGTGAATTGCTGAATTCCTAAATCTGCAAAATAATAATAATAATAATAATAATCGTAAATTTTGACAATATGTATAGTGATACATGATGAAAGGCGGGCTTACACGCTAATCAGCTGGAAGCTGCTTTGCAAGACCTTGGAGAAAATGGGTGAGGGATTTTCTTGCATTTTTGGTGAAAGCTTCTGATTTTCCATTTTCATCCAAACTGGCTTCACGCTCAAGCGTAGAGTGAACTTTCCGAACCAATTGCCGGAGTTCCTAAGATATAGTTAGACAAGGGAGGTTATGAATTATCAGTAACTGAGCAATGTAAAAGCAGCAAATATGCACTTTTAACCCATTATAGATTTTTCTCAGCTGAAATGCCAGTATACATAGCTAATACATTTAGATTTCTCTTTTGAAGTTTGACTTTGCGACTATCTGTGGATGATAAATATAGTGTACAAGGATTTTACAGGAAATCCAAAATTATTAATCAGAGCAATACAAGGTCCCTTTTTCGGTCTTTAATCAGTCCTCTTAAGTTTTCATTAATAGGAAAAACATTTGGTTGTTTAGTTCATTTATGAAGAAATAAGAGATCCACAAAATGAAGATTGAACTTTTACTCTGTTACAGATGTAATAAGATATTTCAGACAAATGTCTTGTAAGACGGTACAGAGGAAAGATGCTCAGGATAACTGACCCAACTGCAGAATTCAGTATATTAGCACAATGTATACATGCTTTTATTGGCGTTTTTTAAGTATAAGTTTTATTTAGAAAACATTGAATAAGTGTAAGTTCTTATAAATCACTATCATCAAATTTCCAGATTACTATGACATGAACTACTTCTAGAGTCAGAGGCGTACCCCCATAGGACTTTCGCATTCGTGGGAAAAGTGATTCTGAGTTTTGTAGTAGAAAGCATAAGAGAAATAAGAGAAACACTCAACACCACTAGGAATCATTTGGAGCAGGAAGAACTCCATTAGTAATGCAAAATATAGTAAGCTATTATCACCTCAAACAAATATAGGTCTCTTGCCCAGTTTATCTCATATTTTAGCCTCGGTAGGGGAAGTATTTTGGATACTGTAATCGCATTTTTTCCTCTCTTTTTTTTCTAATAAACAATATGAAATTACCAATTTGAATCAAGTTATGTATCCGAGCTGACCTGACGATCAAACTCGACTTCCCGAAGTGAATAAACTTCATTCATAATACTAATATCCTTCTTTATCAGCCCATCATACCATCTGGTCACAACATGAATGTCCACAGATTCCTGCAAGATAAGGCGCAGTAATGAATATAATTTATACAGGGAAAATATATGATGCATGAAGTAGATCATTTCTAATATGCAAAACACGACGTGGAACTGAGATCAGTTATGCAGCACACTGGCTCTAAAAGAAACTAATATGAACAGATCAGTAAGCCAAAAAGTATCACAAAACCACATAATCTATAAACCATTTAGACCAGTGACAATAAAAGTATTAGCAATTAGAAACAAAACTTCTCAGATTCTATGGGCCATCCAATTCTTCAAGAACATCAGCATCTCAGCAAGAATAGACATACCCCTTTGTCATACTCATATGCAATTTCTTCTTCTTCTTCTTCATCTTCTTCTTCTACATCTTCAGCAATCACTGTATTGGACCCTGATAAATTTTGAAACATTCTGTGGTCACCGTCTTTTGTAGCCTGAATTAATCCATCCATAAGTTGAGGCTCCACTTCACGTAGCAGTTTTCCTACAGTACACATTGGTCGCGTTTATTTGTCTATAATGATTCAATATGCTACATATGCCAAAGAATGACAAACGATTTTTAAGCAAATTCAGTTCATTAACTTAAGATAGTGAGAATCTTCCCTTAACTAGAAAAGTAAGCAAATCACAAAGGCACAAAACAAGAAAGGAGTCATTTCTCATTATTGGAAATTCAGAAGAACCTTATTTAAGTTACACATATGAACACTGATAACATTGCATTGCTCTAATTCCTTCTGTAATGCGAAGCCAATACCATGGATATCAAGAAAATACACGAGTACAACCAGGAATCCAACATTTTTTCCAGAAAAAATACACTGAACACTTGTAACACGTTCTTATGGATGAATGCCTCATTTTAAGAGGACAATAACCCAAATCTAATATCGTTAGTAAGGAGTGAATTTGCTAGTTTAGCCTTCTCAAATAACAATTTGCAGATAACACCATACATATTCCTTTTAAAAGAAAAAGAAAGAACTTCACTTTAATCCTTTTTCACCTATATAATTGAATTGTCTTCGCTTTCCTTCTCGAACATCACGGCCTAGTTTCTGCAAAAACAAATAAACAAACATATTCAAAAGAATCAAACACCTTATGGTCTACCTTAATAGATAGCAGAAAAACAAAATGACATTGCATCAATCAGCAAGACAACGCCAACATCAAAGAAAACACTGAATATCATCACCTTCACTAACATAAGAGCCTCAAACACCTCCTCCTCAAGATCAGCCACTCTGCAAACATGGAACACACGCGAAACACATAATCAAATCCCTAGCTTCTGCAGCACTTTCTTCAATTTTCATATAAAATTGCGCAAAAAGAATGCAGTTTCAGGTCAAAATACCTGAGGATGCGCTTGATTTGAGATGTAGAGAAGCTCGAAAGCTCCATACCCCACCGCACAGCGCGTCGAGCATCACGCTTCCTCTCGTTCCGGCTCCTCTTCACTTCAACGGCGTCGGAAGCCTCATCGTCGTTCTTGCTGCCGCCGCCGGGGACAGAATTGAAGTCGCGCAATTTGAAAGCGCGTGAGCTGGTGTGAACTTCTCGGCACGAGTTCGAGAAGAACGCAAGGAATGGAAAACCGCCATTGGCGCGTGTTGGAGAAGAACGGAGGCTGAGGAGGCGAGTGACCATGGAGTGGTGGCGGCAACACCAGGGCCATTGAATTAGCGGCCGAACGACGTGAGCCATTGCGGGTACACACTGTGGACTCGACTAGCACTGGGAAATATGAAATTGGGCCCATTTTTCTATTGGGCTCGAAAAACACGGGCTAACAAGTTGAGTAGGAGCTCGTAAGGAAGTTTATATAAGATCAAGGAAATTCCACTAAACGACCCAACTAATAGAATTGTGTCGAATTTGGGGCAGAATATATATGTGTGTTTATTATCCACTAGAAATCAGGCTTTTCCAAAACTACTTGCTAAAATTATTGAATTAAGAGCTCAATTTCCTGATTATCAAATTAAAACTATTAGAATGGATAATGGCGGCGAATTTACATCAAAAGTTTTTTATGATTATTGTATGTCATTAGGCATCAAAGTGGAGCATCCGGTACCTTATGTCCACACACAAAATGGTTTAGCCGAATCATTAATTAAGCGCATCAAATTAATTGCTAGACCATTAATACAAAATTCCAACTTACCAATTTCATGTTGGGGACATGCAATTTTACATGCTGCTGCTCTAATTCAAATCCGACCTACTGCATATCATGATTACTCACCAATGTTGGCAGTTGATGCCTCGCCCTGTGTGATTGTGTACTCTGGGATGGGACGTAGTCCTCCTCGGATAGAACTTGACTGAACGACGCCCCTTGTGTGACCTCTTGGCCTCCAACAGTCAGAGAACTATAGGCAATGTTGTAGGACTGTTGGTAAGATAGCTATAGACAATGTTGTAGGACTGTTGGTAAGATAGCTATAGACAATGTTGTAGGACTGTTGGAATGCAACTTGCGCCTGTGGAGGGAGTGTAGGAAATATGTCTTGAATATTCGCTAACGAGTTATAAACCCCCTCCAGGGCTTGAGTCTGAAAATAAAATTCAAAGTAATTACTATGAAACACCAAAAAAGAAAAAAAGAAATAATAAAAAACCACAAATTATGAACACTTACGTCGCACTTCTCCCACTCGGCAAATGTCTGATAGTCGCCGTCCTGTTGGACCACCGTGTACTTGGTAGGGCCACTGATAAGTCTTACAGTCCTAGTGTAAAACTAATCAATATAACCCTACTCAGCCTGTAGAAAGTGATCCAAATGGCATCTTGGAGGACATTTTTTTCTCTTTCATCGACTCAGTCCTTGGTAAGCTGTGAATGAAAGGCGGCCCGATCACCAAATACCCTCCCAGTCATTCCACGATCTCTGTGGTGTGTCTCTCATTCTTGCTCACCACTAATCATCGGATTTTGGGGGATGAACAGCTGACACCCAAACTGACGGAGAACATTATCAGACAAGTGGACTTCACGTATGTTCCAACAAAAGATCCACCCCCTATACATCTAAATATGTTGATCTTCTGTGCACTCATCCGGGAGAGTACCTATAGTTCTCTGACTATTGGAGGCCAAGAGGTCACACATGGGGCGTCGTTCAGTCATGTTCTATCCGAGGAGGACTACGTCCCATCCCAGAGTACACAGTCACACAGAGTGAGGCATCAACCCACTGCCAACATTGGTGGAGGTAGAAGACGCCGTGACCGCGAACGACAACAACGCCCGTTCGGATTCGTCTAAGCTCGGAATTGAGTTTTATTTTTTTCTATACGTAGCTAACGAACCCCTCTATTCAATTATTCATATATGACCAAATTATTCTTGAAATCATATTCTCTCAAAGCTCTTGACTTACATATTAAACATATTTCGTGCGACTTAGTTTTATGGGCCCGTTCGGACTCGTCCAAGCTTGTAGTTGAGTTCCGTTTCTTCCTATATGTCACCAACGAACCCGCCTACACAACCATGATTGCCCAGTAAATTTTTGGGTTAAATCTATTCCTCACGGGGCTAAATAATTCACAAATCACCTATTAACAAATCCTCTATGGACCATCTATTTATATAATCGGTGACTTATTAATTATTTAGCCCGTGAAAAATACTTTTAGCCCGAAAATAGACCAGGCAATCATGGTTGTGCAGAATGGTTCCTTGAAGACATATAGGAAGAAGCAGAAATCAATTTCGAGCTTGGACGAGTCCGAATGGGCCCAAAAAGAAAAGTCGCGCGAAACACGTTTAATGTATCGGTCAAGAGCTTTGGGAGAATATGATTTCAAGAATAATTTGTTCATGCAAGTATCATTAAATAGAGGGGTTCGTTAGCTACGTATAGGAAAAAACGGAACTCAATTCCGAGTTCAGACGAGCCCAAACGAACTCAAAACACAAAATATATACTACATATTAATTTTTTTTTAATTTTAAAATATAAAACGTATTATCAAAATAAGTTTTATAAATAATTATTTATAAAACTTATTGTGGTAATACGTTTTATTTTTTAATTATTTATTAAACTTTCTCAATTATTTATTAAACGTATTATTAAAATACGTTTTATTTATTAATTTTTTTTCATAAAACGTACTCCCTCCTATTCATAATAAGTGTCGTTTTGGAAAGTTGCACACTAATTAAGAATAATTTTTTTGCCAATAATAACCCTCATTAATGAAGATATAGATGGATGTTTTAAAAAAAATATGAAGAGAATATGAAAAGACGTAGTGTATTTATTAACTAAATGAGGGTAATAATGTAAAAATATGTACAAAAGATCCAAAACAACATCTATTTTGGTTAATAGTTGATAAAGCCAAAATGACATTTAAAAAAAATAAGAGGTAGTATTATTGAAATACGTTTTTTAATTATTTAAAAAAAATATTTTAAAAATATAATTTTAAAACGTATTACCATAATACGTTTTTTTAAAAAAAATAATTAAAAAAACGTATTATGAGAATACGTGCTTTTTATTTTTATCCACAATTCTTTTTTCTTTTTATTTTTGTCTAGTTATTTTTTTTTATTTTTATATATATAAACTATCCCATTTTGGATGGGGGAGAAGGGAAAAAGATAATATGCAGGTTGCCTTATTTATTTATTTTTTCTAATTAATGGGCTGAAATTAAATCGATGGAAGATGTAGCTTCCATTACTTAATTAGTTTTGCCCCGTGTATTTGCACGAAAAACGATATAATAAAAAAAAAAGTAATTAAAAATATAGAATTAAATAAAAATCATAACTTAACAAATGAGAAAAAAATCAAAAAGTGAATCGTAATAATATTAAACAGTTCCTTATATACAACATTCGTGGTTTTTTCTATCGTCAGAATTCTCACCACAACAAATCATGATCGTTAAACCCCTTTGACTCAGGACTCTCGGATTTAATTTTTTAAAATATTTGATGTATCTTTATAATATCCGAAAAGATATTTTTTATTATTGTATGACTGCAATAGAAAATAGAGATAATTGTAGTCATTAATTGTTAAATATGCATTTGTATAATACCAAAAAATATATAGTATCAAAATAAAAACAAAATATTTTGTATTTCAAGACATAAAAATGCATTATAGAAATGGACACATTCCAAAATGGGACCTGTCAAAATAAATTATGTAACTGAAAGTTACATATTCTTATTAAATGGTGAACATATTTTTATTAAATGAACACCTATTTTTATTAATTGAACTCATATTATTATTAATTGCTGGCTGAATAAAATTTATTGAAGCTTGCCAGAAATAATATATATGTAGATTCATAAATGAGATCTAAAAATTAAAAAAAAAAAAGTAATAAATTATAATAAATAAATAAATAAAAATAGCCAAAATTATAACAGAATTCTGCCTCCCAAATCCCAATAGTCAAACCACTCCCCATTCAAAGGTTTGAGCATTGGGGCCAAAAACTAATTTAATAAATTTAAGACCCTATTACTTCAACTATTGTTTCAATAATCAAGTTAATATAAGGGCGGTTTTGGATAAAAATATATCCGCTCAAAATAAGTTTTTTTATTAATAATGGTTAATTTCAAAAAAGTTGTATGGTTTGTTGTTAGTTGAATTTTGAATTTATAATAAAAATAATATTTAAAATAAAATAATTAAAGTTGATTTGATATAAAAGTAGGAGAAAGATGATGTGAAGTTATGATTAGTTAAAATAATGTGAGTGAATGAACAGTGAATTAAAGTTGATGTGATGTGTAAAAAGATTGATTGATATTATTTAATTAATTGATAATATTGAGAATAATGAATTTGAGTTAGATTTTGAGTAGATTGAACTATTTTATATACAAATACACCTTAAGTGTTTTCAAGACATTATTGGATTACTCATGAATATTTTTTTCAAATATATATTTTTTTTCGATGGATGTGAATTCATTGTCGATGGATGAATTGACACGAACATTTCCACAATTTTTTCGCAATTAAAATGACTTGATCTGGTCAAAGAATTAGGGTTATTTCGATATAAGTATATTATAGAGATATTTTGATTTTAATTGTTTTTTTATTAATCCTAGTTAATTAAAAAAAATTGGTTAGTTTTAAGTGAGATTTTAAATTTGTATAAAAATAATTGTTTACAATAAAATGATTAAAGTTAATTTGATGTAAAGGTAAGAGATATATGATTGAAAATGATGGATATTTAAAATTGTGTGAGTGAATAAATAGTGAATTAAATTTAATGTGATATTCGAGGATGGTTGATTGCTATTATGTGATTATTTAGATAATATTGAGGAGGGTGTGTATGTCATGTCAAAATTGAATTAGATTTTGAGGTATAAAAGTGATTGATTAAAGGTGATTGAAAATTGATGAGAAAATCTTTGTCCAAGCACCTTCTTAATTACTTCATCTGGTTAACTTATTGGCTTAATGAATCGTGTATTAACTATTAACATAATATACATTGTTGATTTTGATAATATGACGATAAAAAAAAAAATAATGAATTGTCATGTGAAAACAAATCAGTAAATCATTCATCATTCCGATAATGTATTGTGATCATTTTCCGAAATATCCAAACACACCTCTTACTATTTGAATGAGGTGGTCCATGTAAATCACTAAATTGAGGTAGATTGATTTTTCATTATCACACACACCTCTATTGATAGATGTTATGTCGATCCAACGAACCA